CATGTTAGGAAGCTGCTCCGATTCTATCCAACCTAATATCTCCTCTGCCGAAACTGCCCTTGAAGCATGGAAACGTCTCACAACCTTGTATGCCAACCCTTCCAGATCTCATGTCATCTCTCTAAAAAAGAAGCTAATTGACAACCCTCGTGGAAACAGAACAATCCAAGCATACCTTTAAGATATGAAGCAAATAGCTGACAATCTTGCACTAGCCGGGAACCCTGTTGATGATGAAGATCTTGTTGTTCATGTCCTTCACAACATTGGAGATGAATTCAAGGAGATGGGGGCTGCCATCCAAGCTCGTGACTCCTCGATTTCTTTCTCGGAGCTTCAAAATAAACTCACTGACTTCGAGATTCACATGAAAAAGGAACGAAAGATGAGTCTATTGTCATTCCCAACATCAATTTCACCCATAAAGGCGGAAAGACATCTGGTAGGTACTCTCAAAACTCCTATGAAGACAGCAGACGAGGGAATCAACATCAAGGAAGACCAAATTCTCAACCTTCCAACCCCAGAACCTCTTACAATCCTCAAGCCTTTTGCAATTTTTGTGAACGTGCTGGACATTTTACTAAAGAATGTCGACGTTTTTCTCGATTTCTAAAAGGCAATAACATTTCTCCTCAGGAACACTTCACTACAATGAACTCAAACAAATCCAATCCATGGATTTTCGATACAGGAGCCTCTCACCATGTCACTGGGCAAACAGATCACCTACACTCCTTCTCTGATTATGGTGGTCCTGAAGAAATAATTTTGGGCGATGGTTCAGGTCTCAAAATAACACATGCTGGTCACACAACCTTAAACTCACCATCTCGTCTTTTTCATGTGAATGATATCCTATGTGTTCCTTCTGTAAACAAGAACTTATTTTCTGTTGCAAAATTTTGTAAGACTAACAATGTTTCCATGGAATTTTTTCCGTGGCATTTTTTGGTGAAGGATCTTCGCACGGGGGCGCAACTACTTCGAGGGGAAAACAAGAATGATCTTTACTGCTTCATGCCTTCAAGAAAACCTCAAATCAATGTTGTCGCCACAGATCTAGCAAATAAGTGGCATTCACGCCTAGGACATCCTGCTCCTCGAATATTACATCTGTTTTAAACTCCTCTCACTTTAGTCATAATAAAATTTCATGTTCTTCGTTAATCTATCATTATTGTCATTGTCATAAAAGTCATAAACTACCATTTGCAAACAATTCTCTAACAAGCACTAAACCTTTAGAGCTTGTCTATACTGATGTTTGGGGACCCACCGACATCTCTATTGACAAATATCGTTATTACGTAATATTTGTCAATCATTTCTCCCGATATACATGGATTTACCCATTGAGAAAGAAATCTGATGTTGCCATCATTTTTCCACAATTTAAAAAGTTAGTTGAACACCGTTTTCAACTTCCCTTGTTAACTGTTTACTCAGATAATGGAGGGGAATACGCATTCCTGAAAAATACTGTCACATCACACGGAATCTCACACCTTACTACACCTCCTCACACTCCAGAACACAATGGTATCTCAGAACGATGACACCGCCATCTCATAGAAACAACACTTACACTCCTTCATCATGCAAATTTGCCAACCACTTTCTGGTCTTATGCAGTTCAAACAGCCACATATCTTTTAAATCGACTTCCAACACCCATTTTAAATCATAAAACTCCTCTAGAACTCCTGTTCAAACAAAAACCAAACTATACACGCCTCAAAATCTTTGGTTGTTTATGTTACCCATGGATTAAACCATATACATCTTCTAAACTCCACCCTAAATCTACAACATGTATCTTCCTAGGGTACTCCACTTCTCAGTCCGCTTATAAGTGTTATGATCCTATCACATGTAAATTGTATATCTCCCGACATGTTAGATTTCTTGAGGACACATTTCCATGGAGGCATGCTAGTACTGATCCATCTCTAACCCCTCAAGATGTTTATGCCCATGTGGAAGACTCTCACAACTCGACCACTAGTGTGTCACCAAGTACACCTACTCCGTCTCTGTCTCCTATGCAGACCCTCTCACTAGAAACCACTCTTCCTCATAACTACAACCATCCTCTACCACCTCTATCACCAATCCCCACCTCTACCACCCACTCTATCGAAAATTTATCTTGCACTCCTCAATCCACATATACTCCTCCTCCACCATCCCCGCAAGCTCTATCACCATCCCCACCGGTTTTTTCCCCGCCTCAACCTCGTCAAAGAAAACCCAATCCTAAGTACTTCAGTGATATTTATCTCAACACAACATCAACTCACCCCCTACCAGAGACTCTTGAACCGTCATGTGTCACCCAAGCCCTTAAAATACCTCAATGGCGTGATGCTATGTCTACAGAGTTTAATGCACTCATCTAAAACAAAACCTGGGATTTAGTACCTCTAACTTCCCAAAACACTCTCGGTTGCAAGTGGGTCTTTCGTATTAAGCGATCCCCTGACGGATCTATTCAAAAATACAAGGCACGTCTAGTAGCTAAAGGATTTCACCAACGGCATGGCATTGGCTACACTGATACTTTCAGCCCTGTTACAAAACCGCTCACAATACAAATCCTATTATGCATTGCTCTATCACGAAAGTGGTCCTTACGCCAACTAGACATCAATAATTCCTTCTTAAATGGCGCTCTTCAAGAAGAAGTCTATATGGTCCAACCTCTAGGCTTTGTCAACCCACAATTCCAAAATCATGTATGTAAGTTGCGCAAAGCTTTGTACGGGCTCAAACAAGCACCACGAGCTTGGTATCTTGAGCTTAAGGCATTCTTAATCAACTATGGCTTTCGCAAATCTGTATTTGATGCCTCCCTTTTCATATTTGAGTCTGGCAGAATAGTGATGTACTTTGTTGTCTATGTTGACGATATCATTCTGACCGGGAACAATAATAGTGCTATTGATGACTTTGTGTTGCAGCTAAATCGCATATTTGCACTCAAAGACCTTGGTGAACTTCATCACTTTCTTGGAGTGGATGTTATCTCCACCAGTGATGGGTTATTTCTCTCTCAGAACAAACACATTCGTGATATCCTAACTAATCACAAGATGGCTGATGCAAAACCAGTTATAATACCCATGCAGAGTGCCACTTCTCTAGTCGACAACTCAGCCCCATCATATCCAACAAAGTATCGCTAGATCATCGGTGCATTACAATGTCTTGAGATAACCCGACCAGATATAGCTTTTGTCACAAATCGCCTCTCTCAGTCCATGCATGCCCCAAATGACACTCAAATGCAAGATTTGAAAAGACTCTTACGTTATCTAAAGGGCACAATTCACCATGGCCTATTCTTGAAGCGTGGACAACCATTAAGAGTTACTGCCTTTAGTGACTCTGATTGGGGAGGAGCATCAGAAAATGGAAGATCAACAACATGATATGCCATCTACCTTGGGCCTAACATCATCTCTTGGAAATCAACGCGTCAAAAATCGGTATCCCGTTCTTCCACAGAGACTGAATACAAGGCTTTAGCAAATGCATCATCAGAAGTCACCTGGATCACCCATCTCCTCTCAGAACTTGGTGTAACATTGGCTCAAACCCCTGTATTATACCGTGACAACATTGGCGCCACATATTTGTGTGCAAATCCCATATTCCACCGTCGCATGAAACATATAGCTTTAGACTATCATTTTGTCCGTGAAAAAATTGACAGTGGTTGTCTGAAAGTACATCATGTCAGTAGTCGTGATCAACTCGCGGATACACTGACCAAAGCGCTCGCTTGACAACCATTTTTGGCAACACGTCCCAAGATTGGCGTCACCGATGGTTTTGCCATCTTGCGGGGGCGTATTAAACCCATATCTATCTGATATGGAAATTATCAATCTACACCTTGATTTATGGAGTTATAAGCAACCTATATCTTAGACGATTCATCACCTAAAATCATGGGATTTGACTCCATGATTTCCTGCTGTAAAATATGTACATATAGTTGTCTATACTAGCTCTGTAATGTGTCCCTTTGTTGAATACAGAACCCATACAACCTTTTTCTGTAACCTTGCTCTGCAATACTCTATCTTTTATAGTATGATCTATAAGATCATGCAAATTATGGCCCTGAAGTACTTTCTTTCAGTCATCCCTTTATGATTAAAAAAAAATCATTAATTTTATTTAGCAATTTGGTAGCTTGAAAATATGATGGAAGATGAGGTTGTGGGTCCTCTTACAACCCATGATGAAATGTTTTGACTTTATAGAGAAAAAGAAGTAGGATCTTCTCTATTTACAGATCTTGAGTGGGAATCTCGATCGAAGGAATGTTGGGGGAAGCTCTTCAAACACATCATGGGGAAGAGGTGGACATGTAAGTAGAGGTTGGGGTCGAGTCCAAGGTTCTTAGCATGGCCGAAGAGGTGATTGTAGATCAATTAAAAATTTGAATGATTTGCAACCGTCCTCGAAAGAATAAAAGTAAAATAAAATTTTTTAATAGTAAAAAATTTGGTCATTATGTGTTGGAGTTATTGAATAAGAGGCAAAATCACTCAAGCCAATGAAGAAGTACGTGTTTTCATGATCGAATCTCACCATGATTTGAGATAGTCTTCTTGCACGGGAGATAGTCGATTTGAATATAAGGTATGGTATCTACACAACAGTGTTAGTATAGACAACTCACGATCGGTTACTATTTTGCTAGATGAAGACATTGTTTAAGTCCACATTGTGGTCTAATATATTTCGATGAAGATAACTAATGGTACCCCACGTCCCACCTCTATTGGCTAGATATATGTCTCGACCAATGCTTCCATCCCGAGCCATGAATCGATAGAATAGCTTCCTTCGAAATAGATGCTTGATCACATAAAAACCTCTCGAACCAATAATAACTTAAAATTGTTTCACACTCTGATAGTGAGGGCTTTCTTAGTTACTTATTTCTGCGGAGTGAATAGACTAACAAGGCTAGGAGTTACTTTCTACTTAATACTTTTATAGTCATTAAAAGTCATGGATTGTATAATAAGATACTAATCTAAAAGCCAACAAAGAAACAATTATATTACAAACCAAATGTAATGATACACCATGTCAAAGGCTTTTAAGAATGATTTAATACCTTAAACCATTCTTTGATATCCTAAACCAAATATAATAGTCATAAAAAGGAATTGACTCAAACTCACACACATTATAAACGAGAACCCTAGTTGATCAATCGGTCTTGTAAAGAAAATAACAATGCAAGAAAGCGTAGTACCAAGAAAACCATCTTTCAATCGAAGATCATCTCCCTAGTATGGCGAAACTCCCACATTGCCCGCACTAAGAAAACCATCTTTCAGTCGAAGATCATCTCCTTCCTACACTTCCACAAATCAAAAAATATATATAATTTTTTCAAATTCTATAAAAAATAACAATGCATCAGATATGGAATGTATTATTAATGCAGCTTGAATCTTTGCTAGTGTCAAATTTAGATAACCTAGGCCAAAGAACGTTAAAACAATATTTCATCAACTCGTTGCAATAAATAAATAAATAAATAAAAATATCGTAAGAGTATTATAAGAGGATATAGAATAAACACATAATATAAGAGGATATAGAATAAACACAATTAATATACTGTCACTTTTTCATACACTTATCTATTTACATGTTTTCTAATATAAGTATCATAATCATTTTTCGTTTGATTGCAAAATCTAAATAATTTGGTAAACCATATATATTAAATTTTTTTCTTTGAAACGACAAATCGAAATGACACATTAAATTTTATAAGAAAATCGAATAAAACAACCAGTGTTTTCATTCACTAACAATTACTTTTCGAAACTGACTTTCAAATATCAAGAAATATTACCAATATACAAACTTTTTTCTATTAATTTACAGTCGATAGTTTTTTGGAAACATAATTTAGAAATAAATAAATAAAAACACTGTTGAATTAACATAATTTAACATAAGACACATTGATAACTCATGCATACTAGAATTGAAATAACAAACGAGCTTGTAGGTATATTATATTATATAAAACTGACAATTACCAAAATATGTTTGTCATTCAGGTCATAAAATGGAATGTCATAATATTAGTCTTTTTCTTATTCGATAACTTTTCACAAAATTTTATCTTAAATTTGTTTACCGAAGTTCAAATTTTCCTTATGAATTTTGTTTAAAATATTCTTACGAAGAACTTTTTTTTTTATGGTTCTAAAAACTTAGTTTTTTTCATATTACTTTATTTTTCAAAATTTTCATCTTGTTTTATAACTTCTACTTTTTGTTCCTTATTTACCATAACAAAAATCATTTTTGTTTGCTACATTGAGCATTATATCTTCTACAACATATACTTGTTTATTTTGATCCATTATTTCCAACAAATGGTCAAGTATATGCCAATAATATAATGACCACTTCAAAATTTGAACGTGAATAAACTCAAAGAAACATGAAAGATGGTAGTGATACGTTACACTAGCGTATATTCACAAATATGAATTATTCAATATGGGTTATTAAAATACAAGGGAATTTGCAATCATAATCAATGTAGGATGCAATTTTAAATGAAAGAGTGTAGGAACGGAAAATTTGGATGGCTTGTATGGCTATTTACCAAGAGATTCTGAATGACATGCTTCTAATGTCGGGAAGGATACAACTAAAGATGCATGTAAAACATTTAAGATGATACATTTGAGACCCGGTATTGAGACTAGAATTAAACTTTGAGAAGCGACATTGAGGTGATTTGAATGACAATGAAGCGATAAATGATTTTTCCACAAGATTGAATTCCATTGTCATTGGTGTATGATCTATAAGATCATGCAAATTATGGCCCTGAAGTACTTTCTTTCAGTCATCCCTTTATGATTAAAAAAAAAATCATGAAATTTATTTAGCAATTTGGTAGCTTGAAAATATGATGGAAGATGAGGTTGTGGGTCCTCTTACAACCCATGATGAAACGTTTTGAGTTTTTAGAGAAAAAGAAGTAGGATCTTCTCTATTTACAGATCTTGAGTGGGAATCTCGATCGAAGGAATGTTAGGGGAAGCTCTTCAAACACATCATGGGAAGAGATGGAAATGTAAGTAGAGGTTGGGGTTGAGTCCAAGGTTCTTAGCATGGCCGAAGAGGTGATTGTAGATCAATTAAAAATTTGAATGATTTGCATCCGTCCTCGAAAGAATAAAAGTAAAATAAAATTTTTTAATAGTAAAAAATTTGGTCATATTATGTGTTGGAGTTATTGAATAAGAACCAAGGTAAGGAGGCAAAATCACTCAAGCCAATGAAGAAGTACGTGTTTTCATGATCGAATCTCACCATGATTTGAGATAGTCTTCTTGCACGGGAGATAGTCGATTTGGATATAAGGTATGGTATCTACACAACAATGCTAGTAACCATACGAGTAGAGAGAACTCAAAGTTCCATTAGTTAGACGCAAACGTTATAAGCCATGTGAGATTTGACAATGGTTTAAGTTTTAACCATCATTATTTTGGGAAAATTAAGGGCATTTTTTTTATTGTAAAAATATTACAAACAAATCGTTAAAGAGGTATATTATATTTCAAGTCTTAAATGACAAAAAAAAAAATTATTCGTATTGGACAAATGACGGAGAAGGAAGGCTGGTCATAATGTACGTTCAATATTTGACATATTATTAGAGGAACAAAAACTTTCCTTTTGAGTGTTAAAAGGTCAATAACTGGTTAGACAAAACCCCTCGGAGGCCTAATGGACCTAGATATCTTTTACCAAAAAAATCAAACGGCTTGGATATAACATTCTAGACATATCCATATTAAATTTCGTTCCTTAAAGAAATTGTCTAAATGAATATGAAAACCAATGTTTCAAGGACTAAACACCTGTCTGAAGGGTGTGTTCTTGGCTTCTTGCCAAACAATCTCAAATTCCTTGTCCAAATGAATTGGTTTTCTAGATTAAAAAGCTCTATAAGTTTTTCATGCAAGAGTTATATGGTCATATTACACCAACCTCTATTGGAGGAAGCATGTAATTTCTCCTTTAGGTATACGATTTTAGTTGGTGGATGTGGTGTTAATACTTATATGACAAGTTTGAAGCATTGGGTTTTATTAAACTATTTAAGTTAATAAATTGAAAAAGTTTAGATTATATTTTTGAATGAAATATCCATAGGATAGAGGGGGAGAGTTCACCTTAAAAATAATTCTCATGGGTTTTTGAAGAACATTGTGTAAAACATAATCTTACAACAACATATTTACCACAGCAAAATGGAGTTGTTGATAGCTGAAATCGAACCCTTAAAGACATATCAACGAGTCTTCTTAAAGGAAAAGATGTATCAGTGCATTTCTGGAGAGAATCCGCTAGATATATTTTTTTTTATTCTCAACTGGCTACGAACAAATGCACCTCTCGACATCACAATGTATGAAGATTAGTTAGGAAAAAACCAAACATGAAACATCTAAAGGTTTTCTGTTGTATTCTTTTCATTAATAATGTATGTAGTTAATCGAAGAAGCTTGATACTTCAATTATAAAGATGGTTTATTTTGGTTTGACATATGGAACTTAAGTTTAATTTTGATCTGCAAGATCAGATGTTATAAGTTAGTTACAAGTTTGATTTTGATGAAAAAGAAGGTTTGAATTCTTACAAAAACATAAACATGGAAGAAGAGATGAAGACTCATTAAAACCTTACTAAAATCGAATCATTGTCCAAATACATCCTAAAAAACATGAAAAAACAACCCCTGAGATCAACCCAGAACAACCGGACAACCTAGTAAATAATGTTGTCAAAACCGAACGACCCTATGTCGATTCTATCCAGCCCGATTTTCATTACACTCAATCTACAAGGAAAACCCTACATCATATTTCGGGCTTAATTAAGGAGTTCGATAGATAATCAATATGTATATCAAAGCCAAAAGTATGATACTTGAGCCTCATAATTAATGATGATTGTTTCAGATTAGCTCTTGAATAGTAAAAAAGGCATAAACCTCTAAAGCGTAGAAGGAGGCCATGTAAACGAATGTAGATTCAATCACGGAAAACACAAAAGGTTCAAACTTACAGATTTTCCAATCGTTAATTAAACAATCAACTTAAATTACGTCTTTAAAGCAAATAACACTACCTAACCAGCGACATTCATTCTTAATTTAACGACTCAACGTAGGTTGTCCACTATTAATTCCAAGTCGACTTATCTCTATGGAGACCATAAGCAGGATGTCTACGTTACCTAACCATTAGAATATGTTTATAAAGTATTACAATTCTTTCTACAACAAGATCCTTGAGCTTGGAATATTTTCTTGGATAAAATCTTAAAAGGGATTAGTTTTTTGAAAAATTTACAAGACTCGACCGATATACAAAAGGAACCCAAATAGCATGTTGTTGGTGTCTGTGTTGACAACTTAATAACTATCCGAAGAGATTGTCGAACTCAAGAAACAAATGATTTTTTTTTTTTGAAATGACATGGGTGGAATGTCAATTCATTTGACCTAGGAATCTTGTGAAGGAAGTCGATAACAAGTCGTCGAAAATTGACTTCACGAAAAATCGCATGTTTAATGGTCGAAGCTAACACGTTGACATTCAGTTTTACAATGCAATGTTGATCGTGTATATATTATTGTAGAATATATAAATTCGAAAGATCAAGGAGTGTATTTCATTACAAAGGCTTGTGATTTTTATACATAAGAAAGGTGAATCATCCTTCTCTTTCTCTTTCCTATAACACTTTTTGGCCGACTTGTGTTTCTCTTTCCAAAATGGATGAGTCGTCCCCTCCCCATTTGTCTCTTCATAAAGAATGAGTCATCCATCTCTCCCTTTCCCCTTAATTTCCATACCTCTTACATCCATTTTTACGTTAAATAAGGAGATGATCCACTTCCTAATATTATTTTCTTAAGGTGGTTTATTACCTTTAGCACTTTTGTATTAAAATATTAGAAACACTTGGGATATTTAAGTAGAATAATTACTTTGTATTCACTTGATATTGTAACATTTGCTTTTCAATATTAGAGTAAAATCAAGCTTTGGCTTCATTCTTATTTCGTCTACTTATCATAACAAAATTCAGTTTCAATTACTAATTTGAGCATTAAACCTTGTGCAACTTACACTTGTCTATATTTTGATCCTTTATATCCTACAACTTTCACATATAATTTGCTTACGGGTTCCAATAAACCAAAACTCAGTTTACGAAATATGTATGATAGCTACATATCATAAACCTGAATTTTGACGTTTTCCATAAATCCATGAAAAGTAAAAAACGCAATGTCCCTTCTCGCAAATTAACATAGTTGACATTTCAATCTTGATAAAACACAATTTTCATATGCAAGCTTATTACTCTTGATTATATACTTTAACCGAACTTTATTTAGAATTTTTTTTTTAAATAATAATAGAGTAAATGAGTGTACCTGTTGGCAGGCAGATGGTTTCTTTAGAGGCTGATCATCAGGCATAAGACCAAAGTGGATGTGAGGAAAATGTGCCCACTAAAACAATAAATTAGAACAATTAATTGACAAATCGCAAACCTAAAAACACATGCTATCAAAATTGATTAAAGTTGTTTACTTTTACACACATTAATTATATATGTTCTAAAACATTAATGCAATCATTAAATAGAAATATAATAATGAGAGACGTATGTTCTTGGATCTTACATTCTTTGCAGCTGCACTGAAGGCTTCCCTGTGGCTTATATCTGGGTTACCTGCTTTGATACGTTGGATCTCCTCCCTGTAATTTGTTTAAGAGAATTAATATGTAATTTTGTTTTTCCATTTGTAAAAGCTAAGTTGTTTTTATTTATATTAATTTGAAGGGAAACTTTATTAGAGTGCTAAATTCTACTTAATTCGTTCAAGGACGGATGAGTCACAAATATTATTTAATGAAAAGAATTATGATTATTTTAATTCAAATGGTTTCCGTTAACTAGAAATATGCATACGTAGAAAAAGTTAAACAAATGTTGTTGAGATTATTTCACGTAGATACAAATTAGTCATTGTGTTTTTATGAATTTTCGACGTAAATTACTTTTCAAATTAAACTATTTTATCACTCAAGAAAAGTAATCGAAATATATACATACTTGATAAATCTGTTGTAAGCAGAAGGAACTCTCTGGCGCTTCTCTGGAGCTGCAAATACATGAAGACAAATATAACGACAAAATAAACAGACGCAATATTAAAATCATTTGGTTTCAGACTGTTTTGTGTTGTCTCTCTCCTATCATAACTTCATCATTATCATTATCTCTCTATATATCAAGAAACTGTGCCCATCTTAAATTCCGGGGGAGAGATAATTTCTAATCCCATCCACATGTAAACACAAAAGCAACAAAGTATATATAGGTGTATAAAAGCTGCAAAACATTTATTTATCATGCATTTATATATATTTGAATCTTTAACCCAATATTTCCAATTTTTTCCCCATGGAATGGGCTCTTTGTCATATTATAAAAACTTAAGATAACAAAATAAAGATTAAGAAAAAATAACTTTCTTGTTCCATTTTTATATAGGCCAATTCGAGAGAATATTCTTTGAGGAACGATACAACTTTTTTTTCTACAAAATTTGAAGACTGGCTTACAAATAAACAGACACGTGCTAAAAGATACAGCGAGATAAGTTTTATAAAAAAAAAAATTAGGGTTTCATTGATGGTTTTGGACCTTGTTGAGTTATAATGTTATCTAACAATATAATTTCAGAAAAATTTTGCCTTTTTTGTGGTGAGAGATGGACATATTGAGAAATAAAGAAAAGAGGAGTGAAGGCCACGAAATAAAAGCTAAAGAAAGAGAGTTCTCCCACATACCAAATCCAATAAATGCTCAAGACACCATTTAGATGTAAGCTTTTGAAAGTACAATCAATGGACTATTTTAATATCTTTCTTGATTTACTGAGAAACTAACGGATTTCTGCATTTTATGCTTAAAACAAAAGAAAACAAAAGAATCTTGAACCTTCTTTTATATCACATCTAGATTCAAAAAACAAAAAAAACATTGGGTTGATAAAGAAGAAGAAAATGACAAAAGAAATCTTACGCCTATTCACTACAGGAGGCTTCAGTAGCTCATCAACTCGAACTGGACCTATAGACTCTGGAATTGACTGATTCATCAATATGTTGGAAGGGGTGTTCCTCATCTCCTCCTGTATAAATTTCATTGAGTCAAATATATACATTTTAAAAGACAAGGTCGATATGAGATGCAAAACTTACGAACTTTTCAAGAAACCCTAATTTCTGTAGTGTAAATCGAGTCTTTCCCAAAATAAACGTTATGAAGCCCTAATGGCAGACACCTTAACAGTATCAGCATCTAGACATGCCGTGATGTATGTATATATCAAGACCAACAAATTTTTATGTATCTATATATATATATATATAGAGAGAGAGAGAGAGAGAGAAAGATATATATATAGAGAGAGAAAGAGAGAATTAGGTCATCTGCTACAGGCTCAAGAACGAATCGAAAAACACAATGGGGACTACATGTTTATTCTTTATAAAATATTTTCACTTGTTGATATCACTGTTTGAGGAGAGTAATGATCAGGTAATTAGGTACACGTTTATTTATTTATATATTTATTTTTGTAATCTTTCAGGACGTATATACACTTTCTCGATCTGTACTGTTTTGTTAGTAGTTAGCAAATTAATTAGGTTGTACCATAATGTTTTGATGAGAGAAGAAGTTATGGCCAAAATGGAGCTGATTCGCAGAGGCAGCAGCAGCAGGAAGAAGATGGGCACGCATGTTAACAGACAAAAGATTGGTGCAGTGACCACATCGAACAGTAACAGTTGTGAACAAACTGCTGCAAGGAACACTCACCTACAACATAAACACCATAATAATTTGATTAAGTTTTGTAACAAAATTCAAACTACCTTTAAAGATCATGAAAATTTAAAAGAAGAGATGGATAGAGAATCATGCATATGATGGTTATGTATACCGCAAGAACGGTTTCACAAAAGTTGCACTGGACATAGCAGAGCTGCTCGGGGGTTGGTGAGAGGTGGTGGTGGTGGTGGTGGTCCGGTTGGAACGATGCTGAAGATGACATGTTTGTTTACTCTTTCTTCTCTCGTTCTCTCTCTCCTCTTGTTTTGATTGTATCTTAGAGTTTGAGGTGATTGATTGATTGATTGATATGATGGACTGAACAATGTATATGGATAGATTATGTTTGGGGATCTGGCCTTGAATTTGTGTGTGCGACTTCAAGGACAAGTGAGAAGGAAGTTACAATGGAGAATGTAAAAGACAAGAGATATAAAAAGAGAGACCCACTACATCATATATGAGTCGTGTTGATCATACCCCAAGGTTCTCTCTTTCATCTCATTTCTTTCTAATGTTACTTTAATAATGGGGCCATAAATGTTCACTAACCCCATTTTTATTTTATCGCCAAAAATATTTCATGTACATTTTTTTTTTCAAAATCTTTTATATTTAGGAGAGCTAAATTAAACAACATATATATTAGAGCTATAAAACATGTACCAAAAAATTACCAACAAAACTAATTTAATTGTTAGTCTATATGTTTGATAGTCAATATATTTATTTACTTGTTAGTGATTGTATAATCTTAGTATGATAATTGTATAAAATTTCAAATACCATTGGTGTATGGTACCAATCAACTTTTTATATATATATATATATATATATATATATATATATATATATATATATATATATATATATATATATATATATATATATATATACAGCTTCAGTTGTGATTACAAAAAAAATTAGAGATCTTAGAATTCAACCTCAATCACATATTGCTCATTTGCCGTTGTAACGTTTCAGTGTAACGGCAGCAACAGAATATGCTTAATAATAAATGATTATATGACAACCAATACAAGAATAAGTTTATATAGCGACACAACCTAAAGGGACGACGGTGGTCGTCGCTATAGGTGGAGCTATGGGGACGATTTGTCGTTCCAATAGGGTTGACCAAAATTTTTTTTACCTTGAGATTTGTCTACAACTTGGTGGGTCTCAAATGGTTAGCGGGAAATTTCCTGGGTTTCTGAAAAGTTATAGGGACAACAATTCATCTCAACTAAAAAAAATAATTAAATAATTTTTTATTATTTTGAAGCTAGGTCTCGTCCTTCATCCGCAATCGCATTCCATTCACCCTTTTCTCTCTCTCGATCGAACGATCCGTACTTGACATCGACCACCTCCATAACGATGTTTGTCAATTCCTTTGACGCTGCCAACCTCTGCAACGACCACCGTCTTCACTACATGTAACCTGTAGCCTGCTGTCTTTGGGAGGAGAATTTGAGTTCGATGTGTTGATTCTGACTCCTGGTTCCATCGATCAACAGTTTCAATTTCCCTAATTCCAACTTCATTTATCTATTCATCAACTCCCATTTTCTCTAGGTATGTCTCACTAATTTTGTTATTGGGTTACTAATTTTGTGATGTGTTAGTTAATCTAGGGCTATTGATTTTTGTAGACCCACCTCAATAAAAGCTCTTTCATTTTGCACATCATCCATCCACTAATAGAAAAAGTGAAATAGAATACAGGGAGATAAAATATGGTTAAGATCTTGTTTTTCACATTGGTGAGTACATAAGATTTATATGTCATTGAACCTGATTAAATGTAATTACCTTGCTCTCATTACTTATTTCATGTGCATACAAATCATATTGCATGTTAAGATCTTGTTTTTCACATTATGAATTTTCAAATTATGATAATAAATAATGTCACAAATGAGTTTTTCTGGCACATGTGGCATTCTTTTTAATGTATTTACTTACCTACTAATATTTGTTGTTAACTTTTTTCAGCTTTAAATTATATCAATAGGTTTGGAATTGCATGTATCCTGCCATTTTCGACATGTGTGGTCATTATAAGAATCTTGCACAAGAGGCATCTATCTTGTTTCCCATATTGTCCCCTTATAAACACAACTTATCTTTCTTGAAACAATATAAGGAAAAGTAATGATTCTCACTATTATCTTTAATGTGTAATATGAAAAGGCTGTATCTGTGTTGCAACTTTTCAAAATTATACAAGTAACAGGGATATCTTGGGCAAGTGTGAACAGATTGGTACATCAATCATGGATTATATTTATATTTTTATTTATATATTGGTACCTTTGAAAGCTCTTAATTTTAAAGTAATCTTGCAGTTCTTCTTGGAGCTCATGAAGGTGCCACATGTTGAATCAAAATTCAATTTAACACCCAGGTATTTTCTTTTTTGTTATTACTTATTACTTGAGTTTGCTAATAAATTATGTTTATTTTTTATATATTAGTATTATTATCTCATTTTAACATTGCTTTCAGCTTTCTGAATTTAAAAAGAGTTTGAACACTATAAATTTTGCATGTGATTAGGTCACGACTTCTATAAAATTAAAGGATATCAAGAAAATAATTTAGTATTTGGGGAATACACTAAATCAAGGAACTGCAAGAGATAATATTGAGTTGTTATATATTTATTCAAATAAATCCCTTCATTTCTTTAAAAAATTTTGTAGGTACTGTAGTTGGTTTCAAGTTAGGCATTCTTAAAACTCACATATACATGCCCTTCAAATAATAAGATGGATCTGAATGCAGGTGATTCACTTACAGGTTGAATTACATGGATTCAGGTAAAGCATTAGCTAGCATATATAAAATATTAGCTAATGAATTAACTTTATGTAGTAGGATGCCCATGATTTTGCATCAAATTTAAACATGCCTTCTATTTGGGAGTTTTTGGCCCACTTGCTTTGCTCTTTGTCATTTTACTATATCGTGCTCTTCAAACCTTGAGAATGTATACAATAGATGACATAGTTATATTCCTAATGATTTCTTTTTTCAAGTGGACAAATATTCTTTGTTACATTACAAATACATTGCATATATTATATGAGTATTCAAAACTGGGAATTGTTGTTCTTATTATTTGTATGGTTTAAGTAGGTGTATTAATATAGAATGCCTCAAGCTTGCATTTGGACAAAGAATTAGTCATACAAGAGGTGTTGGAAGAAAAGTGAAAAATATAGCAAGTGTTCCTAACTCAAAAGCCAAACACCCAACCATGTCATTTTGAATGAAAGTGAAGAAGGTGAAAGTGATAAGTAGGAAAATAGTTCTAATGAATCTGATTAGGTAATGGGTTGATTGTGTGGTATGAAACATCTAAACAATTTCAAGTTAGGTTGTTTGTTTTTTGGTAAACCGATTGTGTAAGATATTTTAATGCTTTTGATTGTATGATATATGAAACGATTTAGAAGTAAATTTACTATTTGCCTTATATTATGTAAAACTTTTGGGAAATTAAAATAATAATTGGGATAGGATGTAAATTGTGTCTAACACCTATAGGGACAACAAGTTGTTGTTATAGGTGTACCAATGGGGACAACAAGTCATCACTATAGGTATACCTATAGGGATGACATGTCGTCTCTTTAGGTGTACCTATTGCGACAAAGGCTATGGAGACGACAAAATGATCTGAAACGACAGAGGTAAAGCGACAAGGCCTATGTTAACGACATGTCATCCCAGACATCTATAGAGTCGACTTTGCATGCTACAGTGACGACTTTTGTCGTCCTTGTTGGTCTTTATTCTTGTAGTGAGAGAGGTATAATTATATATGATTATACATGTTTATACGTTTATGCCTAATCAGAAATGATTATACTTATACGTCTGTTCACAAATTAAGTAATCATATATAATTATGACAGTTGGTGGCAAAAGAGGTGGTGGTGGCAGAGGTAGCGGTAGTATAATTGGCAAATGTGATAGTGGTGGGTTCGACTGGTGGCAGAGGTGGTGGTAGTGGTGGTGACGGTGATAGTTGTGGTGGTAGGGATGGTGGCAGAGGAGAAAGAAATGGGCATCACTATATAATCATTTATGATTATAACTGACTTACCGCACTGGTACGCCAGAGAGTTAGAGCAACAAATATGAAATATGTGGCTAATTTTGAATCTCATGATCACTATTTTTTTTTAATATCAATGGAACATATATATATATATATATATATATATATATATATATATATATATATATATATATATATATATAGGTTCAAATGAGAACAAAAAATGTTATGAACTATAGGAATTTTCTTTTAAAAAAAGTTATCATTAAGGGTATGTTCACTACAGGAAATGAATACATTACTGATGACGCCTTTACCGACGACAAGGACCTTTAATGGCATCTCATCAATTTTATCGCCTCTAAATGTCCTTGTCACAGCTATTGGTGTCGTCGGTAATGCTTTGTGGACCGAATCCACATTATCACCATCTGGTAAACGCTAACCGTTCAATCGTGTATCTAATCCAATGGTTGGGATTCCGTTTTCACACAAAACCTATCCCTACAACATAGAGTCGCCGCTAAAGACCAAAAGTTATCTTCGTAAAAGGTCAAAAAATGACACCCCTTCTTTTCCCTCGGTGTAAGTCGCCACTATTAGTTCCTATCGTCGGTATTGCTTTAGGTGACACAACTATTGTGTGTCACCACTATTAATCGGTGCAGATTATACAATACAGCCGCTTCCTCTTTTTGCCTTTTGCTCTCATTTTGTATCCATTTTTTCGCATACGGTCTCCGACGATTCTGTGACAACCTGAAATTTATCCCGTCACTGTAACCCCTTTTCCATTAATAAAACTCATTTTACTAAATTGTTTTGTTAACATTTTGGATTAAGTTAATTAAATTAAGTCTTTTATTACGACTTCATAAGTGTTGAAACACGTGAAACACCCTCGAATTCTTTTAGAAAGATTCCTAGTTTTCGACCAAGTCGGGTTACGAACGTTTAATCGGGTACGACCATAAACTCCGTTTAACGTTGGGATCGGGTAGATTCCCACCGGGCTGCAAACTCAACCCCTATATAAGGGATTGAGTGGTCACATTTGAAGCTTTTCCCACTCATAACACAGACTCTCTCTCTACAAGTCGATTTTTATCCAAAAACGCCCCTTTCAAGCTCCAAAATCGTAAGTGATCCATAAGGATAACATATGTGTCTCTGCTAGATAATTGTAATAATTATTTAAATGATGTTTTATTTCTGAAATGATATAAAATAGTTAGCCTTACACATATATGTATCTCTTAATGGTAGAAATTTATGACATCCCCAATTTCACGGCCAGAAAAGACCGATTTGTTTATGTTTTGTTTTATAGAATCAGAGTAATCCTTTGATTAAAAGAGTTGCGGAATTTGTTCCCAAAATAAAATATGATAAAATAAAATTTATCAAAGCATTTCTTAAAGAAATGTATTTTCATTAAATTATAAAATCTCGGGATGTCATGTTCCGATACACACCAAAAGCATAAACAATATAAAATAGACCTTACAACAATTATTTATAACTATTGATCTATAATCCAAAATCTCTCGTCAAGTCCACCAACTTATACCCTTGTGTCAT